CACAACTTCTGGAGGCAAATCATTACCCTGATTAATTGTTCTTACCGTCAGAAAATTTCTCCTTAATTCTAAGTTGCTTCTCTCCTTGATTAATTTCTAACTATGCCCCAAGACAGCCTCTATCTCCTGCCAAGGGTGCTCAACAGACCTTTTTTTCTCTGGCAGAAAGCAAATGATTCTGTTGAAGATAAGCTGGATCTGTTCGTAGTGGTCTTGTAATCATCCTCAGGAAATTTCCACAAAGCAGTTTAGGAGGTCATTAGCCAACCACATGGCTCTTTATGGAATATCAGTGAGGGCACCGAGGCAAATTTTGAAAGAACAGGCTGTTCTATCACAACTGTAAATTAGGGTTATCTTGGATGTGTGTTGGATTACCTCAACAGATAGCTATGTCTCAAAAGTTCTTCTGATGTCGGGTTCAGATTCTTTTATTTAAGATGAAACGAGTCAGATATGTGTGTATTTTTTTGCTTTTTTGCATGTTTCATTTTGATGGCTGTAGATGGGGCTTCTCATAGAAAATAAAGATACTTAGGAAACAATGAAGAGGGGACAAAGACAGAAAAACTCCTTCATTTTACCATCAGGTTAAAGGGAGGAAACTGGGGAACAATACCACCCAGTTCAGCAAATGGCTTAAATTTTCATCTTCAATTTTTTTTCAATTCAGGCTAGCGATTTTAAGAACTTGCTGAAGGATAAGCTCCATTATAACGGAAGAGACCGAGATTGCAACTCTTCTACCGCAAATGTTTCCACACCAGTTGAGTGTGTTTTTAGAAAGTTCACCAGCTTTTTCTTCACTTATCTTCACATCCCAGTCACCTTTGTCTGGTGGAGAATTCCATAGTGACTCACTTGTCTTTGTTCTGCCATCTTGGCCGAATTTTGCAGAGACTTGCACTAGACACCCCAGCCATAATGATCTGGTCTGGCTGGATTTCAGCTGTGCTTCGAAAGGGATTTCCCCTTCTAGAAGCAATTATTGGAGTTTAACTCAGAGCAGCACCCAAGATACAGAAAAAGGACCTTCCCTTTCAGTTTCAGATTAGGGATTAAATCCAGGAACAGGGAAGACCAACTGCAAACCTTCATTCAGATGCTGGAACCTTTTGCAGAAAAGGATACTGACATTATAACCCCCAAGAGCTACAGAAAACAAATTTCCTTTGATATGATCAAATTACCAAATAATTGAACTATAGCTGCCTTAATGTACTTTAGATGTGCCTTCCCTAGCTGTGTTTGATAAGCAGTGATTCATGGCATATTATAGGAATCCAGTAGTTGGGATTTGCTCAACAAATCAAAGCTTAGATTGAAGCTCTCCGGAGCCTCCCAAGCGATTTGCCAAGGCTGACCTTTCAACCTAGCTGGGATTCCCACGCCATTTCCCAAGCCACGTTCTTTCTGCAACCTGTTGACCCGGAAAGCATAAAGAACTTCCCACATGTTCAGAAATTAAAAGGGACCCAGAGAATATTGTCTCTTGAAAAAAAAATTAAGAAAGAAAAAGAGTAGCAGAATATATTTTCTGAAAAAAAGCTCTTTTTTTTTTAATTGGTCAAGTCGTTTACATAATGCGAAATTCACCCAAGCAATCAAATGGTCTCTCCAGAGAGGCAGTCAGATTGTGTGAACACAACAACAGCTCGGGAAGGGGATTGGAATGGGTAGCAGTTTGGACAAGGCACAGATCAGGAGCAAGCAGCAACCTTTTTACAAGCAGAGCAGGCACTTCTGCTATTAAAACTATGCTTATCTTTTCCTCTCTCCAGCTCTCCCTCTACGGCACTGTGGAATTACCTGCATGTGATAAAAAATTACAGACTGAATAACACCAGAAGGACGTTTTTCAGACACGGGTGGAACAGGCAAGGAAGAATATATTTTATTCTAACTTCTCTTAAATCCTCAAGTACAGATCAGGACGTGCAAAGCCTTAAATCTTCAAACATAAAAACAGAGAACACTCTTTCTAATCTGCAGGTAAAGAGGACTGGATTAAACAACAAGGTACATCTCCCAACCTGCACCCAGGTAAATTCGGGAGGATGGTTTAGCATACCCTCCCCAGGCCTAGTAACCTTTAGAGAAGATAAAGCTAAATCTTTGGGCTGTCCCAGGTGGGGCACTAGAAACTTTTAAACCAGGGGTCCCCAAACATGGCAACTTTAAAGACTTGTGGACTTCAACTCCCAGGCCAGCATGGCTGGTTGGGGAATTCTGGGAGTTGAAGTTCACAGGTCTTAAAAAGTTGCCAAGTTTGGAGACCCTTACTTTAAACCATCACCTCTAATGGACTCCGGGATGGTGAAGGTCTGTTTAGAGCCTCTGTAATTTACAGGAAGCATTTACAAAAAGTATGGGTGTTATAAAAAGAGCAGATCCCTCCTTGCATCTGGAAGCTTGCAGCCTATTTTATTTATGACGTTAACCCCAGTTATGTCTCTGGATCCAGCCTGCTGCTATTCACGTTGGATTTTTCTTTTCTGACCTGAACAGAGCCTCCTTCCTCTGCATACACACCACCACAGGCCTTCAGCACCACCCGCATTAAGGCACTCAGTTTAGCAATTGGTCAATTCCCTCATTTTACCCCTCCAACTCCTAGAATCTTGCAGCTTTTCCCAAAATAAAAACAACTCTCAGTTAGTTCTTTGCTAGAGTTAAGCACTGCTTTGACAATTTAATTCTAAGCTTTAAAATTAGATTAGAAAAACAAAACACAGAAGACTTTCAAGTAAAACAAAGTTAAAAACCAGCATAGACAATGGCTGGGGTTTTAATGTTTCCCTGGCTGCGGATGCAGATAAAAAATAAAACCGATTGCATCAATGAATAAAAATAGCTCCTCCTTTTGTTTTGAAAGAAGAGAACAAAATGTTGCAAGATTGGTCAAAGGACAGCAGAGGTCTAGGCTCTGATCCTCATCCACCTGTAGCCAGGGAGACACAAACCGCAGCAAATTCTACTGTATACAACATTCCTCTTGTAAACTGATGGTAAATCTTCTCAATAGAGATTTCTACCTTGAATTCGGATGGCACACACAATAGCCCTGAAAAACCTGCTATTGTTTACAACTGACTTTGACATCCCAAACTAGCAGGATAGGAACTCTGGTTTTTCAATGCTGGAAAAATCTGATTTGTGCAAAGGGAAGTTTAGTGCCCTGAAGGCTTTGGACTGGAACTGCACAATCTCCAAAGACATGTCAAACAACGTCTCAAAGGAGAGCTCTGATAGGCATTACTCATGACGGACACTGAGCCCTGGGCCAGCCCGTTTTAGCAGCACCCAACTTTTCCACAGGGAGTCTCAGCCTTCTCGGCAAACCTTCTTGGAAAAAGAGACACTCTCTTAAAATCAGCAGGGTTTGGTAACAAGCAAATAGGCCACATTCTCAAACACCTCCTCTGTGACGGCTGCTGCAATTCAGCCTATTTGCATAGCTGGGATCCAGCCACTTTGCACTGCGGTTTCAACCAGGTTCCATTTAGAGGCTATCAATAATTCAGCCATTCCAAAAAAACAGAACAAAGTTCTTCAGGATTTCAGCCTCAAGATTTTTCTTTCCAATTTAAACATTAAAGAAAATAACTGATTCTACTAGGTGTGGGCACTTATCGCCTGCCCATTGGTACACTCAGGGCTGGCCTTCCAAGCAGTCCTGTGGATATTTAATGACTGCCTCTGAAAACAACATCTCTTCACCCAAGAGTCAAGCAAACCACTGTAATCACAACTGCCTTCTTTCCTTGGAATTATCCTTACATGATTTACAACAGGGGCATCCCATCTTTGCAAATTGAAGACCTGTGGGCTTCAACTCCTAGAATTCCCCAGCCAGCCATGCTTTCCACAGATCTTCACGTTACCAAAGTTGGACATCCCAATCTACAATGACTCCTTAAAAGCCACAGCAATTCTGCTTTCCGGAATTAAATTATGACAACCAGTTCAGACTAGGAATCATAAAAGCCTTTTCACTGGCCAAACTCATCAGTTTCACTTTTACCTTCCACTGCTGCTTATAAGAGCCATTTGCTAGCTAGCAGACTGTAGTTGGTACTATTAGGTTCCCAAAATTATCCTCAAAAGAGGAAGGAAGAAGGGAATTTGAGTTGTGCAATAGAGTTGGAATGTACTATTTTGCATAGATAGATAATCTGTGAAAATTGCAAGCCCGTAGGTGGAATATGATCTTTCTTAAGTGTAATGCTAATCTATGAAGCATCTATGCGCTCTTCAATAAGAGCTAGAATCTAAGACAATAGTTGTGCCTTGTGAAATTTTCCAATGCATGGCTGTGATAAATGCACACAAGATTAATATCCCCTTTGGTGGGTAGCACCAAACTCTTGGAGATCAAGGTTTGGAAGTATAGACTTCTCTAGAAGCAGAACTTATAATAAAAGTGTTACATGAGTCAGGCAATGTTTTACAGAGATGAATAAAACTATCTGGAGGTGAAGTTCCAATGAACTTTAGAAGGTAAAGAGACTAGCAGGAGACATTCTGACTCCAATAATAGAGGCAGAATTATCTTATTCATATTTTCAGACCTGTTTATCTCTACAGACTTCTTTGTTCCAAATATCAATTGATAGAAAAACCCAAAATATCAGGAATTCAGCACCTGTACTTCTTGTAATCTGGATGAAAAACAGCCATTAGACTCTTTTAGTCTCGCATCTGAATGTGGTGCATGATTTCGCCACCACCTCTTACAACAGGAAAGTTTCCCAACTACCAGTATTTCTGTGATCAGCAATCAGGGTGGGTTTTTTTTTCTTATGAAAGCAACAAACCATAAAAACAGAAGTGCAAAGAAACAATTCATAGCATTTTTCAGGTTCCGCTAACTGCAATTACTGTCCCTGGAAATTAAAAAAAAAAAGGGGGGGGGTACTCAGTGTTGACACCAAGAGCCATTACCAGCTGTTACAGAGGTCCAAGGGCCAGAGACCTCTTGTGCTTTGGCAAAAAGCACGTGGGAAGGAGATCAAGCTGCTTCCTCCGGAGCTCACAGGTAGACGTTGAGAGTCTGCAAGATCATCTGTCTGCACAAAGGGCAGTTCCGTTGGTAGATGGCCTGCTGCAGCAGGATCTCAGTGCATTCTTGGCACAGGCAAAGGTGCCGGCAGGGCAGTAAGAGGACTGTCTTGGTTTGATCCTGGCAAATGACACATTTCTTCCGTTCTTCTTGTTCTTTAAGAAGCCGCCACGGGTCGTTGTCTTCTTCCAAAGCATTTAGTTGCTCTTTTTTTGCTGTTTTGGTCTGGGATACACTTGGTCCTTCCCCCTGAGGCTGAAACTGTTGTGTGGCTGTTCCCAGATCATTATCCGTTCTAGTCTGGTCCCTGCTGCCTCTTTGGCGGGGACGTATGATCACCGTTGGCCCTTGTCTTCGTGGATATGGTTCTTGTGGAGCCAGTCTCTGTCCCACAGCAGCTCCCCCTGCTCTTTCTTGGGGAGCTTCAAGCACCAGCTGCGGTTCTTGTTCTCCGTGCTGGTTAGCTGCCCAGATGTTCCTGTTCCAACTGAGCACCTGAAGGCCCCAGTCTGCCAACCTACGCCAGGTCTGGGAGCTCAGCAGCATCTCCAGGGACAGGAGCATGATGTGATAAAGGCGTTGCATGTCCCTGAGCAAGCGATGGTAGGAAGGCATCGTGTTCAAATAGCCAGCCACTTGGTTTGCCACGGTCCAAGTCAGCTGTGGGTTCAGGATAAAGATGCTGATGGCAAGCATCACAGAGAGCAACACCATGCCATACAGGTTGACAAAGAAGATGTTGATCAGCAGCTTGCTCACTGAGGCCAGAAGATCAACAGCCAATTGACAGGGAGTCCACAGGAGAATGGCCGTAGCAATGGCACTGCTGGAGAGGCGTGCAAGGAAGGCAACCAGGAGGTCTGTGATCCTCAGAAAGGGGCCAACTATAGTATCCCACAGGGCCAGCCCTACTGCAAAAAGGTTCTGAGTTCCAATGAGGCAGATGTTGATTATGCTGTTGATGAAGTAAGCCACAAGGCTCATAGCTATGGCGCACACTTCACACATCTGTCTCAGAAGCGTCTGACCAGAGCCAATCAGGTTCCAGAAACCTCGGTGCACAATTTCTTTGCTTCTCAGGCCCAGGTGGGTGAACAGGTGGCCCAGCACTTTCAAACTCTCCATGCTGGAGCAGAATCCTCTCAACAAGTTGAGGACTGCGTGCACAGAGCCCAGAGTCAAGTAGTACAACGCCTCCAGGATGCATAGCACAACGACCAAGATCCCATTCCAGAACTGGCTCAGACAGGCTACCGTGGCATTGGGCAGATTGTAAACAAAGGCGATAAGCCAGATCAAGGCTGAGAGGGCGGTGGAAACGAGGAAGAAGTTGATATCCAGCAGGATGACCAGCAGATCCAACACCATCCCCATGCCGTTGATCACCAGGAACACTAGATCCATAGCTGAGCTCTCGAAGAATCGGCCAAGACAAAAACCAGCTGAAGCCAACTGCACAGGGGGAGGGGGGGCTTCGTAAAGGCAGCAGGAAGGAGAGGCGTGTGTGCGTTTTGCTCCCTAATTTTCTACGTTAAAAGGGGGAAGGAATGCTTTGGCAACAAGGCAGAAAGTCTGGCAAAGTCTTTGCTCGGTGGGCATCAAGGGGCAGCCAGTCCAAATTTGGGAGAGGCGCCGTTCATCGTAGTTAAGGCTCCCTTGGGTGGACAATCAGACAATTCCTCTCCCCAAAGGGTAGCCCCTCCGATTCTTTTCTGGAGCAGAGTCCTCACCCCAAATCAAGGCAGTGGGGCTTGCAAACCACTAGGCCCCATCCAGGGAACCCTGGGCAAGAACCCAAATTGGGGGGGGATGCTTTTTCTCTCTCTTCTCCAGCCTCCCCCCGGGGGTCTTCCTGGCCCTTATGATTCAGGTCAGAGTCTGGGACCCCTTTCGAGGGGGACAGGTCATGCCATGGGTCGAAACCAGGGGGCCCTGCGAGGAAGGAGGGCCGCTAGGTGGGAGCAATGGGGGGGGGCGTCCCGAAAAAACTGAGGCGGGGTCTAGGGTGGGGGAGGGGAGGGCCCACGGGAACTCCCTCCCCCCCAGGGGGGCGGCCCCCACGTCGTGAAGCGCGGAATCCCGGTCTCTCCGCGCGGAAGGCCGCAGCCTCGTCCTCGCCTCGCCAAGCGGGGCTGCCTCCGTGCCAACCGCGAGGGGCGCCAGCGACCACCGCCCCTTCAAGCGCCTCGGCCGCCTCCTCACCAACCGCTCTCCTCCCTTCTGCTGGGCGCCGCCATTTTGGGGGGAGCGGGCGCCTCGGCGGCCAATTAGCGAGGGCAAACGCGAAGGACGTTGAGTTTCCCTCTCGCCATTGGCCGCAGCGGCTGTTGTTTTCGCCCTTCCAGCGCCGCGATTGGTCCGTTTTGAAAGTCGCTTTCGGGCGGTTGACGTTGCTCCGAGCCGAGGGGGGAGGAGGGAGGGAGAGGGGCGTGGCTTCCCTAGAGGCGAGGCCTGGAGAAAGGCGGGAAGGAGTTGGTCACGGGATTTGAGGGACGGGGCGTTCCTCACTCTCCCCGCCTCCAAGGGGGCGGAGCTTTTTGCATCTTTGGGAGCCCAGAAATAATAGCTGAAATAATGAATTTTAAACAGGGCGGTCGTTGTGAATCCTTTATTTATCTGGTGATACTTTATTCACCATCCATCAGGTCTTCTTCCAACCTTTCTTTAATCTGATATAGCTTTTTATTTAAATAAATAATAAATTAATAAATCATTAATTTAAAAAAAAATGGGGGAAGGTTTTTTGCGAAAGCTAAGGCATATATTGAAGCAAAAACAATTGTAGGCTTCATTTTCTCATCCTGTGGAGATTTCATTTCATTTTATTTTATTTGCCTTTCTGTGAAGGTAAAACCAGTTTCCCCAGTTGGGAGGGGGGAAGCTCCAGAAGTGTTAAAACTCAAATTCTTGCCGGGGTCATCTAAATCTAAAGCCCCCTTTAAAAATATATATTATTTCCTGATCTCCTTTCTGATCGTCTGAATTTTTCACCTTTGCAACTTCGCAAGACACACATCTGAATTTAATTGATCCAGGATAAAGCCTTCCCTTTCTTAAATTCATATTGCAAGACAGGTTTCTTTTTAGGATTCCCAGCCATGAGGAAAAACAGGATTATTTTTTTTTCCAAACAAGAAGCTCTCAGAACCACAGATTAGCATAGTCCATCTTGGCTTCAGCTATTACAGCAAAGAAAGGAGGGGGAAAAATCAGTGCAAAAGTTGTAATTAACCAGTTTCCCTGTTTGCAGAGAACATCTGCAATCTGAGTTTGTTTGCCGTCTACTGGACAAGGTGCCCAAAGTTCCACCTCTTTATAACCTCAAGGACCACAATGGAAAACAGGCCGATTTTCAAACATTTTGGGCTGCCTATGAAAGGCGGAACCTTCTGTAAGGACAGACAGAAGAAGCTCCTCTTTTACAACTGACAGGCCGATGCCTCTTTCAGAACCAGGAAGATAACTGTCTGAACTCTGGGAAACTGAGTAAAAGAGAGCTTGATATCCTCAATTTATGGACATTCGTTTATCAACTGTTCAAGTTACGACAGCGCTGGAAAAAGTGACAGGACCAATCCTTATGGTTGTGATCGTTGCAGCATTTCCATGATCACGGGATCAACATTCAAACAATAAGCAACCAGCATGGATTTATGACAGTTGCAGAGTCTTAGGGTGATCCCCGTTTGCAGTCTTCCCAGCTGGTTTCTGACAAACAAAGTCAACAGGAAAAGTCGGATTCACATAATTACCGTAGCAAAAAAGCTCATAAAACCGGGCATAACTCTCTTAATTATCATATCACTTAGCAATGGAGGTTCCAATCCAATTGTGATCATAAGTCGAAGACCTTGTCACTGTGTTGAGTTTTCCTAGCAAATTTGTTGGCAAAACAGAACTCAGAAGATCTCCAGCAAAACTGCAAAAAGGATGGAATATTCTCAGCTCAGTTTCCGCCACCTGGCTGATAGGCAGGAAGGCGCTACTGTTAATTTTAAGTCTTTCCTCCAACGCATGCCAAGAACGGAATAGACTTTTCAACTTGGCACGTTTGCAGACAGAGCATTGGAGCAGAATTGTTATTGGAACAGCATTTGCTCACACTGGAAGCACAGGGGATGCTGGCCTTTGGTGGCCTCCACAAGGGATGCCTCCCAAACTCAAAAATCTCCAGTGGACATGTGCCCAAGGAAGAAAGCTGAACTTACTGCTTTTGTTTGGTTTGAGCTGTAACGTGGAAGCATGCTCAGTTATTTTCCTGTGCTCGAGATACCGAGTTAAAATCTGAGATGAGTAGCGCAAAACATGTGTAAATACTTGGCTTTTGTTTTAAAATTAGCACCCAAATTAGCCTTTGCTGGACATCTAAAGGCTTTTAGGGCTAGCCAACTGTCCTCAGTTCTCTGTGAGATGCCTCTGGACAGCGCTTGTCTTTTGCTTTATAAAACCCTAGTAAGACCACACCTGGAATACTGCAGCCAATTTCGGTCACCATATCACAAAAAAGATGTTGAGTTTGGAAAAAATTCAGAGAAAAGCAACTAACATGATCAAAGGCCTGGAGACTAAAACATACAAAGAACGGCTGAAGGACTTGGGTTTGGCTAGTCTAAAGAAAAGAAGAATCAGGGGAGACATGATAGCAGTGTTCCAGTATCTGAGGGGCTGCCACAAAGAAGAGGGGGCCAGGTTGTTCACCAGAGCACCAAAGGGAAGGATGAGAAACAATGGTTGGAAACTGATCAAAGAGAGAAGCAACCTGTAATTAAGGAGGACAGAGAGGACAATCAACCAGTGGAACAGCTTGCCACCAGAAATCGTGGGTGCTCCATCACTGGAGATTTTTAAGAAGAGACTAGACAGTCACCTGTCTGAGATGGTATAGGTTCTCCTACTTGAGCAGGGGGCTGGTCTAGAAGACCTCCAAGGTCCCTTCCAGCTCTATTCTATTCTTATAAATAGACCCCAGGGCAACCACACTTACCTGGGCATAGAAAAAGGAGAGCAATGATATTCTGAGGCTGACAGCCTCTAAACTGTAATGGAATGTGGGTGACCTTGAATGTGGGTGACCTTGAAGAATGGGGAGAAGAGATGCTGTCTAGGAAACAGCCAGAGAAGAGGGGCAGGAGCTGTCAACTGCTTAATGGCTAGAGGAAGAAACTGAGAAAAGACCCACCCGAATGGATCAAGCAGTTAAAAATGGTGGTGGAAAGTTGTTGTTTTTTTACTTTTAGATTTGCAAAATTTTGTTCATGTAACCTTGCAAAAAATGATTTAGCTCATCTAGTCATGTTTCCTGTCTGTTTACCCTGAAAGGCCAACAAGACAGTGCAATATAATCCAGCATGTAACTTTTTAAAAGTTCTTCCAAAAATCTCAAGAGGACGCTCGTTGGTTTTTTCCCTCTCCCTTCCTGGTGTTATCCTCGCTCTGTCAAGTGGCTTAAGCTATAATGATTTGACTAACCCATGTCAACGTTTGAGCTTTATAGAAGCACCCAAGATTATCTCATTCAGCTACTAAATTGTCCTAAAGAATTTCTAGGGGGGCTGTAAGCTTGCTTCCCCACATAATAATAGTCCACTCCATTCTTCAAAAAGATCAAAACTTGCTTTTCAGGTTCTGTACTCTGATCCTCAAAAGAGCCAATAACCTTCTTTCATGTGAAGGTTCTCTGAACAAGAGGTTATGTTCTGTGCTGATAAATATTCATGGACCTCCCATATATACTATACCTATTACTACCAGGTGGGAATAACTTAAGCCTGCAAGAGAAAGCAAGCATTGTAGATGCCAACCTATCCAGAAAAAAAATCTGTTTCATCTTTTCATTCTTCAATAGCAAACTTTAAATCTGCAAGGCAGGAGAAATTGTCTGGTACATACAACGTTGGACAAAAATTAGAAGACCAAATTACCTTCTGTTTAATAATTCATGTTTCAGCCACTGAGAGCAATATATTTGAATAATATTCCTTGTGTTAGCATTGCATGCCCTTAAGCTAATTATAGCACACTTATCAACAAAAACATCCTCTATTAAGAAAAAGGAATTTAAGAAGGGAAGCTCTTTTGTGACCAGAATCTAGTATTTTATTTCCCTGAAGGCCAACCAGGTGCCTCCTAGCCATAATACTCAAGGACACATCACCTCTAAATGTAGAATGCTATTTAGTAAATGCATGCAACAACCAACAGGCAAGAACTCTCACTGGAAAATGTCTTTATCAGTGCATTTGTGTGACCTAAACACCTCCTCACCAGCAATCAACACCCAGTTGAGATGAGATTAATGCCAAGATTAACACTAGGCCAACTACCAAGCTGCAAATAATAGCCCAATCAAGAAAACACTAAGTCTACTCCCACCAACACTGACAGAGCAAACCACCACTATGTAA